ATAATAATAATTTATAATACATTATAAATATTAATCGGTAACTAGTATACAGTTGTATTTCACTTAATAAACATATTGAGATAAAATATTTATTTATTGAATGAACTGATAAATTAAATGCATCATAAAGAGTGGGTGTTATTGTGGATGTAGGTGATGTGGTTGACTTGTGAATTCAAAATAGAATGTGAACTGAGTTATCCAACAACTCAATTTTAGCCATACCGTTAGTCCGAAGGTTCATAATCATAGCCCTACCACAGGACCCATATGAGTCAATGCTTTCAGTATGCACGTCCTCCCACTTTCCTCATTACTTATTGGAACTAACCAATGTTACAACCCAAATTCATTTTTCTGAAAAAAGCTATTCCTTCATGACTGCATGCAGATATGCTTCAATTCAATGTATGATCTTAAGTAGTCTTAATATCTGAGTTAATATTCTTTTATTTGTCTAATGTCTTTTTCTTATTCAGAAGAATTTTAATCTGCTATAAGAGGAGGTTAAAAATATGAATGTTTCATCCTTCAGAATGAACTGAAGATACCCATTTTAATTATTCTGTACTTCTTCAAACGAAAAAAAAAGTACTTCTCAATTAGCTGTATTTTTTTTAATTTTATTTATGTTATTTTTATTGTATTCATCTATTGCGTAGATCAACCTATTGTGGTAAATTTTCTTGACACACATTCATGTGTATATATGAATTTTCACTACTCCGTTAATGATTATTCTTATTATATTTTGCAATAATGTATAGTAATTTTAACAAGTGTCTTTAGTTCACATTTAAGATTGAATTTCTTTTTTGATTCATTGATAAAGACTAAATTACTTTGAATAAAATTTTTTTTAAATGGTAATAAAATGGCTAAGTATTAAACTTCTATAAGTTAGAAGACTAAAAGAAAATAAGTTGAAATTAAATATAAAAATAAATTAACACCATTATTAATAAAATTAATAGAAAATAACAAGTTATAGAGAAACAAAAAAGGAGTAAAATAAAAAATAAAGAATCGAAAATGAAAAAAAAAAGGAACTGATTTTATTAGACAATTAAAATATTACTTCTCTGATTGCATAATAATTCATTTCTTTTTTGGGGTTATAAAACTCCCGTTCAATGCCCCTACATTCACTTTCGTGTCATGTTAAAAACCAAAATATTACCATTTTCTTATCTCTCTTTTTTTTGTCTATTAAGAATATTTTTCAAACTAATAAATCTTTCAACACATGACTTAATTAATATAATTAAAGATTCAACTATATACTAATTATGTCGTATTTTATTGGGAGATTTTGTTCTTCATTGTACAGCTTAAATATTAGTCTTGGATTATTTCTGTATTCTTGTACTTTTCATGCTTCATTTTTTGAAAATATTTCTGTATTATTATTCGTATATGCTTAAAATCAGTTAAACCGTTCATATCATAAGAAATCATGTGTCGATCTATACAAGAAAAGATATGTTATCATCGATGGTCTTTGGATCAGGACAAAGATACATGCCATTAATTATTTTATTTGCTAGAACCATTAATTAACTTTAGTAAAATATGATGAAGGGAATTGGGTAAAAACAGCAGTTTTTGGTGGGAATTGGGCAGAGGGTGAACTAAATCATTGTCCAGTTTATGGGGTAGATATGATGAAAGGGAAGCTTTACATGGCACACTCAGGATAGTTTGCCTGCTACATGCCATCATAAAAGGGAACCCCAAAAGAATAAAATAAAGCCATCCAAATTTAATTATATCGCATAGTTTCCCAATTCTAAACGCCATCGACATAATTGGGCAAAAAGGTCAGAGAGGATATTTCAGTAATCCACATTTCACATTTTGCAAATGGCAAGATCTTTTAATAATCAAATGTCGTCTATACAATTGAGCTTAAAGAATGGTCAAATCACGTTTCTAAAAATTATTCCATAAAGAACCAAACTCTAGCACATGCAACCATACTTTCAAATATTTATACTTGCAAAATTGTTCTACGAAAGGTCGACTTTAGGTTAAGTAATTAAACTTATTATACTCAGTTTTTATATGAATTGTTGCTGCTTGAACATCTATGTTTGTATTGAGATTCACGATCTTTTGTAGGGTCCAATCCTTGCAACATAGAGTATGAAAGAAAAATATCTACCCACTAAAACTAATTAGTAATTAGGATTATGATTTTTAATTTCTTCCACCATACTTCAATTAATTTAGATGAAAACTAGATTTCAAGTTTTATAATCTTCGTATCCAAAGAGAATCAAAAATAATATTTTAAGGAAGAATTTAAATCCTTCACACTCTCAATGCCATTGATTGAAAGAAAAAAATGTATTAATTTAAATACTCTTTTCAGTCTTTTTTATATATTTTTTAAAATGTTTATTAAATTTTATTGAACCTTTTTAATTTCATAACAATTTATATAATGATAGAGTTTAGGTTAAATTACATATTTAGTTTTTATAGTTATATTTATCTACAACTTATACTTTAAAAAAAGTTAAGTTTTAATCCTACATGCAGTGTTGCTATGTTTTATTTCCTATCGATGTTAAAAATATTGTAACAATAAAAACTCAATCATAGACTAAAACATAAATTCTTTTAAGTGTAAAAATTAAATTTTAAATAAATATTAATTATAAATATTAAAAGCATATTTTAAACAAATATTTTTGATAAATTTATCTAAAAAATTTAAATAAGTCATTAAATAAAAGAATCGTGAATTTTAAAAATATTAAAAACTCATATATTTAAGCGAAATATTATTTATGATTTAAAATTTTATATAAAATTTATTAATTTGATAAATATATAAATCAATAAAAAATAATTATATTTAATAAAATATTAAAAATAATTCACATATAACAAATACTTTATTACAATTGAAAAAAAAAAACTAAAGATAATAATTTTTTTGTGTTAATATAATAGAAAAAAAAACTGAATATATCTAGATATATATTTTTTATTTAACTGATAGAAAAAGTCACAAAAAAAATAAAATCAACTAATGAGATTTTAAATAAATACATAAAAATTGTTTACTTCTATCATAATAGAAGATTTACAAATATATTTTTATAAGAAAGTTGATTTATTAAAATTTTCAGTGATAGTGTAAATTTCATATTTCAAATATAATAAATATTTTATTTTTTATATGAAAAAAGTGCTTTTCAAAAATATTATAAAAATTGATATATCATGTAAAAAAAAGACTTAATTAAGTGTTCAATTCCTAAAAAAAAGAATTCAAATTCTCTGCATTTTTTTTGGAAGAAATTACAATTTATAATCTAAATTCGCTTAATTAAATTTTGTTGACTTAAGTAAAAATTATTTTTTGTAGTTTATTTAAGTGAATTTAGATTGTATGTTACAGTTTTCTTTTTAAACAGCAAAGAATCTAGATCTTTACAAAAGTTGTATAAACACATTATTGTAATACTAAGTTCAAATTGTACAACTTCTTTGAAATTATAATAAATTAAAATGATTTTTATATTTGACATGTTTATGAACTAGTCTTGTACTTAAAAAAGTTTATATTTTAGTTTTTATATTTAAAAGGACTAATGTTTTAGTTACTATACAAATATTTAGTTATGATTTGATTTATTCATTGTTAATATTGTTATTTTGGCATAGATCAAAACATTAACTATAAAGATTAAAATGTTAAAAAAAAACTTTTATACAAATTAATATATAACTTTTTTTTATATAAAGACTAATTCGTAAGTATGTATCATCAGAGATAAATATATAATTTAATTTTAATTAGACAAAATTAAAATGTTGGCATTGAATTTTTAAAAATTAATACATTAACTACTTTCAACACCTTTTTTTTTATTTATTTATGTGATTTAGTTAAAGTGTTTTGATATTAAAAAAAAAAAGGCCTAGACAGAGTAATTGCAATAAACATGGTACATCTCAAAATGGCATGAACAAAATTTCCGTAATGAAATTAACCTCAGGCCACCATTTTACATATAAAAACCATTTAGTTGCTATTAAAAAAAATAAAAGAAGGATATTTTTATCAATGGTCCAAATATCGATTAAAAAATAATTAATTTTGAGGTAAATATTTCGTTGACTTTAAAAATAAAGAATCGAATATGTACTTTTACTTGTATTTTCTCCAAAAACAAAACACTGCACCAACGATTGCTTGTTGGATGAAAATCGTGATCAGGAGTCACATCAGCAACCGCTTAGGGAAGAACAATGGGTACATATATCTGTCAAAACCCAAATCAAACACACTGTTACACTTGTGTGTTAGACTCTAGTTGTTGAGGCATGAAAATTTCGTCTTCAGTGATACGAAACCTACCCTCCTGGTCAAATTCTTCCTAACAAGCCAGTCATATAAACCCTAAAGCTTGACTTATTTAAATCTAACGTAACATGCAGTGCAAACGTGTTGATTTATAAAAGACAGAATTCGCAAAAATTCATGAAAGCCACGTTTTGCATGATTAGTTCTAAGTCCTTTGAGTCAGCAATTAGTAGCTTGAATACATCTAGTTTGCCAAATTTCAGAAAAAGATTCCTTATAAAAATGCACTAACATGACCCTCATGTTTGGACTGAAACACGAAGGGATCTGGCTCCGTCGTTATCCCTTTCAGCCAACAGGTTGATTTTTTAACACAATTATTGCAAAATCAATAACCATTCTCTCAATTTTCACTTGCCAATTCTCAATTATAGTATCCAAACCCCAGCCCAAACCATTTTTATTTGTACGGTTTTGAATAAGCCCACATGGGAAAAAACCACGAGATGGGTACAACATAGTGCAACAAGATGAACAGCTTTCGCCCAAAGAAGAAAATGATGAACAGCTTTCGCCCAAAGAAGAAAATGATGAACAGCAAACGAGAAGCCACAGTTAATCCAAGGCTTTGTCTGGAAAGTGTTCTGCGGCCATGTGTCAGACAACAAAAATGTTTTTGACACTTAATCATCATCCAACTTTCCTTCAACATAAATTGTACCATAGTACCAGGTATTTACAGGCCAAACGCAAGACAATAAATAAAAACTTTCGTTGTTTCTTAAATATAAATCTGTAATTGGTTTGCAAACATGAAGTGGATCAAGAGCCCTCCAAATCAATCGTCGAAGTAGAAACATATCATATTCAACCCTGTCAATGAGTATTGAAGCAGCGTGGAAACAAACTTGTACAAATGCATACAAATGCTAATCAACCAAACAACCGCTTTACAATGTATAGTTTATACAAATAAGATACTTTTCAATTTTAGCACATTCTTCTTCATTTGACACTTGCCTTGTTCTTGTGAGCAGTTTCTGAAAAACAAAAATCAAAGACCTGTAAATTCTAATATGTATGCCATGATATATAAACAGCTTCAGAAGATAATAATACAAATATTTATTAATAAGTGAAAATTTCCATAAATGAAAAAAAAATATGACAGCTTTCAGTTAAAGAAAAGTCAAATGTCAAATTAATCCTGATATTGAGATCACGGGTTAATTTGTCACAGATATTACGAAAAAGCATTGGTCTTTGGTTATTGTTGTTAGACACCAAATTGACTGATTATTGCTAAAATAATATTGATTGACTAGTAGTTATCATAGTTGACGACTAAATATGCTTTTTGGTAATGTCTACACGACCAAATTAATTGATTGTGCCAAATTCATGAACTTAATCGATATTTTCCTTGAGAAGAAAACATCAGTCCAGAGTTGGACTTCTAGTAACCTTGAGGTTGTAGTTTTCCATATTCAAACCAAATATATCTCATGGAGGATGATAGAAAAAGAGAGCACTGGGAATACCACTCCCTGTCACTTCCCTCGTCCAAGTCCCAGTCAAAAAAGGGGAAAAAAGCACAGAAAGCAGTGGCACTTATCAACCGGTGTTTCTATACATCTACAATAGGATTTAATCGTAATGGGAGCTAATAGCAGCTGATATTCAAACTCAAGCAAGGATAAATTGTTATTGAAAAATTGTAGACGTTGTTATTGCATTACCTTAAGTTAGTAGGGAAATGGACTTGCTCTGTACTTTCATTAAGCATCTGTTCACACAGAAAAAACAAATAGGTTAAACAAGAACAATCTAATCAAAACTGTAATTATGTGCAGTATTATAGCTTGCATACTCCAATATATGATATTATACAAGATTTCGGTTTTTTCATAATTTGACTGCCTCTAACAACATAAGTATTGCATTATATATTCTTTTTCGTCGTAACCACAGATAACATCGTTTCAACAGATAGCATGTCAATCTAGAACCTAAAAAAGAACTTGATAGTCTCCTTGACCAAAGAAAACTTCAGTAAAATGAAAAAGAACATCTTCGAGGATCTATCTTTTGGTTTGTTATTTGCTTTATGCAAAGATATCAGTTTAGTAACTGTTTCCTTCAAGACCTCTCAAATCTGACCTTAGCCTTAATGTTGACTTCAGTACGTGTTTCTGGGAACCGGTGAAATCTGAACCCTAGAGAGTTTATCTCCCTATTGCAAAGCGTTGTGGGTAGGTGGGGAGCATATCATGGATAACTGTAAATTCCATAAGGTGCATATCGTGGGCATGTGTTCAACTTCTTCTCAGTTTAGTATCTTTAACTTTTTGACTTCAAGAATTATGTTGTAGCAGTCATATATAGAAGAGAATAAGATCAGTGTCGTGCACATTATGGATATGGTTTTAAACAAAAATGCTTAAATGCAAAACATGGCAAGTGATAAGAGTTGAATTGAGCCTTGGGTAGACTATAAAATAAATTATGTCTGGTAGCAATGTTGAAATTTCAGAGTTGACTGAGCTGTATATATTAACAGTAAAATATCATCATTGTTGGTCCTCACAATTCCACAATTAAGCATATCGAATCAAACCATGAAATTTGAGTAAACTACAAGCAAAACTTACCTTCAAAAGATCAATGATAAATGTTTGACCTTTCCATATACACTTCTGGTGCATTATACATCTATGATTTTGAATTCAGCATCAGACTTCCAATGCACGACGAGGGCTCAATTATGATTTCTGGTTAGAAGGCTTGGGCTATTCTAGATTAATATTGTTAATGCTCTTAAAGCCCAAGTATCATCCAAGCTATTGCACCAAAGGTATAGTAGAATTCTAAATATTTTAATTGGTTCTTTTTACTTTCTTATTATCGAAGCTACTTTAAATATGGTTCGGGATTTGTTTTAAACAGGGTTTCTACGTTGCATAAAGCTTTTCTTCCATTTCTACTGGTGTTAACCAGCAAGGCTCTTTGTCCCTGTTTCTGATCACCTCAAAAGCCTTTTTCTCCTCTATAATGCTTTTGTGCCACAGCTTAATCCTTTGGTCTAGGCCCTTTTATCCTACAGTTACTCATGTTCCGAACAGTAAAGTCCAATATAATTCACCTCAGAAAAATCATCAAATAGAAAACCCTTCACAGAGAGCTCCTTGGGGACAAAACTTAGATATATTATCATGACCACTTTTGTGGATATTTACTAATTCTGATCACCTCACAATCCTTTTTCTCCTCTATAATGCTTTTGTGCCACAGCTTAATCCTTTGGTCTAGGCCCTTTTATCCTACAGTTACTCATGTTCCGAACAGTAAAGTCCAATATAATTCACCTCAGAAAAATCATCAAATAGAGAACCTTCACAGAGAGCTCCTTGGGGACAAAACTTAGATATATTATCATGAACATTTTTGTGGATATTTACTAATTCTCCAATCAAAGTTGACATGTCATCTCAGGAATTGCTTCCGATTTTAGTTTCCAAGATGAAAACAAAGCAACTACAACCAACATGAAATGTTAATTTTGATAGAATAATGGTCTTAATGATAATATATGTAAGTTTTGTCCAATTCCCAATCCTCTCTACTACCTATTTTACGCCTACAGGATCATTTTCATTAGTTAGACCCAACTAAGCACTATGCAAAATTAAATAACATTATAATCCATCAAAACTGAATAAATTTATCTTATTTTTATTGTAAGAGATATTTCAAAAGATAATCGATTATCCTTCAAATTTTAACCTTAACCAAACAAGCCCTAAATGGAGGGGAAAACCTTTGTGCTCATCGGAAGCATCATGATAGACCTCGTGCTCCTCCTCAGGCACAGGGGGAAGTTCCACCTGTTCCCCAACCTGAACACCACCACCACCACCACCGGAATGGCTACCGTTACCGTTATCATTCTCTTCCGGGTAACGCACGACCACAACGGGACACACACAATGGTGAACACAGTAATCGCTGACACTGCCAAGCCTTCCCTTAGAAGCTCTCTTGGAAGCACCAAACCCTCGGCTTCCCATGATAACAGCGCTGAGTCCCAGCCTCTCCACCTCCAAGCATAGCCTCTCCTTCATGTCGTGGTCCTTCACAATGTGGATCTTGAACGGTATTTGCCCCTCCACCAGTGGCTGCGCCAGGTCGCTTGCTTTCGTCGCCGTGAAGTTGTCGAAATCATCCTCCAGCTTCTGCCGTGACTCCTCGTTGACGCCGTCGTCCTCCGTTAGGTTCAGATCCACGGAGCCCCAATCCGCGCCGTAGAGGACGCTCGTGGGACGCACGTGCAGGAGGATCACGCCGTCGCCTGGTCGGAGATAGTTCTGGACCGCCCATCGGACTGCGTGCGCGCTCTCGTCGCTCAGATCAACGGCGATCGCGATTTTGCGCTGTGAACCGGAGGTGAGCGCGAAGCGAGGGGAAAACGTCGGAACCGGAGGCTCCGGTTCAGACCGAACCGGTGATTGCGGATTCATGTCGGGGGGAAGCAACGAAATTACGGTTTTGAACTTTGGTCACCGGAGAGAAAAAAAAAGTTGGAAGTCAATGCAAATTTTTGGAGTGTGAGCAATTAATATGGTAACGGGTCAAAGACTGTGAGGGGTTTCTCTCTCTTTTTGTGTTATTAAATTTCTAAGTTCCTTCCTCCGCTGTCTTCATGCGTCAGCACAACAGATACTTCTCTTTGAAACTGGAAGTGGATTGGTGTGTGAAAGGGTGTTTTGGTCTTTTGACCCCTTCCCTATTGGATAATGTCTCTGTTTCTTCGTCGACTAATTACGGATTAGATAATACTTAATTATCCACTAGCTGCTAATTGTACTCTAATTGGACACTCGATTTTCGGATTATGTCTCTGTTTCTTCCTCAACTAAATAAGGATTAGATAATACTACTTAATATCCACTCGGCTGCTAAATGTACTCTAATTGGATGCTCTTCATTGTTCTCACCGAATTCATGTCGCTACATTAACCAATAAACCATGGCTTGTTTTAAGTTGGTTTCAACGGTGTTATCGGTAATGCTCGTAGCCAGGTTTTGTTGAGGGCAAATGAAGCCAAATTTTAACAAAGTAGGAAAGAGTTTTGAACAGGGACATGTCGTGGGGAGATTTAATAGGAAATGACAATAGACCAAATGAAGATGTGGGGAGTGGCACATAGCAAATGGGCCTGGAGGTGTTGGGTCAATTCATAACAATATTGTTGTTAGATGGTGCTACAAGAAATGAACGGCTCTTGCTAAACACAAGTCTGGATTAAGAATTGCCAAAATGTTTTCAATCACAGCTGTTTTCTGTGTATTAATTAATTGACCACTAGTGTTTTTGGATTTACACTGAGGAAGTCATAATCTAATTAATTGAAGGAGACAAATAAATTGCTTTATCGTCTAACCTTCTGTGGAATTGTATGTGTGTTTAACTTTTTTTCTTATCCGTCTTACAGCTAAAACGTTTTTCTTCTTCTTTTCTTTAATATAAGAATTATGTGCAGCGTTTTAAGTTATTTTGTGTTATTTTTAATAAAAAAATTATTTTAAAAAATAGCATTAACAATTAATATTATTTTTTATCATGCAGGTTATTAAAATAAAATCTCAATGTTGATTTTAAAATTTTTTCAATTCAATTAAAAACTCGTGTATAAAATATGATTAAATCTGATTTTATGATGTGATTTTAATTATTTCTATAAACAACTGCGATGAGTATTTGCCCTGCCATCAGTTTGAAAAGAAGTGTGCGTGTTTCGTGTTTCATACGATAGGGATGGAAATCATTAGTATGAAAGGAAAATAGAAAGAAAGATAAGAGAAAAAAAGAACAAACATCCGCCGTTAAATAATGATGTGTTAGTTTATGTCATCTTAAAGGTTAAAGTATTTAGATAAGGAATTCTTAATAAACTGTCATTTGTTTTTCTTTTTTTATAAAATATATTAGCAAGTTATACATCTATTCTTTTGATATATAAATACAAGTTGTAGCTTCTTAACTTATTTCTTTTAAAAAAGTAATGAAATTAGCAATATACTCCAGTTGCTTTCTGGAAAGGATATATTATTATCAAATTACACTTTGAGAGCATTTTAATAAAATAAAATTGTATTAATTAACATTTTTAAAATTTCAAAACAAGTTAATAAGTTATATTAACAAATATTTAACTTAATGATACTGTAAAATAAATTTTACATTAACAATATACAGATAAATATTAGATGAAGATTGGCATATATTTAATTTATACTATTCTCTTGGAATGCAACAGTGTACATTTGGAAATAGAATAAAGTTTTGTAAGGAAACCTGAAAAAACTTAATTGCAACTTACAACTGTGGTACAAAATCACACCTTGTGATGAATGAAATATTATTATCATGGTGAGCAGAATTGACAATGTTGTTTTTCTGCCAAAGTACTTACGAAACTAGTTCCGAACCACATCGCCGTTCGTTTTTGGAAGAATTAATGAAGTGATGCTTAATAATATAAAAATAATAAAAAAAGACCGTTTAACCTCTGAATAGTCATTGTTAATATACGAATATTAGTTATTATTTCTTCACCTTTAATTCTGTATTGGACCGTTTTTCCTGTCAATTCTCTCTTTGTTATGTTCCTAAATCTTATGCATGCCAAGCTGGAGTTTTAATCAATTTAGTAAACATATTAAACTTGGCGTTTGGAATAATTAATTTGTTAAGTAACCTCACAATCCTGTTAAAATCTAAAATAGTCTAGATGATAATTAAATTAAAGAATATAAATACTTCATAAACACTAATTATGTTGTAAAAATATTATACTCATTCTGTGTTATGTGTGTAAATTTTTCCATTCATCTTCAAGGGAAAGGTAAGAGAAGGCGAGGGGAAAAACAGTGTGTCTAAGCCATGTTTGGAAAACTAATGAACGAAAGACAAAAAGTAAACAAAAGATATAGGCAGTGGAAACATAGTGCACAATAACACTCGCATTTAAATAATCTATGAACAATTCGATCTTCCTATTACAATGTGAATAAGAAATCAGTACAAACAATCTTCCTATGTGAACTGAAAATATTCCCAATTTCCCCCTTTTTTGTTGCCCCAATTTCGCATTTAATTATAGTTAAGAACAGAACAGAACAAACTTGGGATTGAAAGTCAAATGTCCGACTTAAGGGATAATCCTCCCAATCTTTTGGATGGGTATGTTATGGCTTTTGATAAAGACTACAAGAAATACTAAAAGGTTTCTTGTTGTTTTGAATATGTAAAGTATGACGCACAAATAAAATATAATAAAAAGTTGAATTTGTGGCTTCATATACTGATATCCATCTTTTTAAAGGTTATATCATTTAACCTTTCTTTAGTAGAAAAAAGTCAAAGAAAAAGTAGGAAAGTCTCAATCCAAAACTACAGACTTGTAAGAACCGATACTATTCTTTTTTGTTATATTTTTTTTCTCTGTATTTTAATTTCGGTACGGTTTTTATATTTAATTATTTTATTTTTAAATATTCAATTTAAGTCCTCTATAACAATATTTCACTTATAATTAATAAAACAAAATGAAAATTATGATATTTTATTAATTTATATAAATAAATGAAGAAAATATAAAAAAATATTTTAATAAGTATATAATATAATAAAGCCTTGATTTTGGGATGAAAGATTAATTTGAGTATTTTAAAAATATATAAATAATTAAAATTTAAAATTGTATATACGTTAAAATATATAAATTAAAAAAATACAATATAGTCTATATTTTTTAACATCTTATTTGACTTTGTTAGATAAGTTATTTATATGGCACTTAAAGATAAACATAAAGTTTAGCAACTTGTATATAAATAATGCTACATAAGTATTTTAGTTGGAGTTTCTTTTTATTGTTTTTTACATCTTTCTCCTGTTATTGATTTTTCTTTCGGTCCAGAGTCTTTTCCATAACATAACAGTCAATATAATTCGCATGTAATTATTTACAGATTTTGAGTAACTTAACTTGACATACATCTTCTCTACATTCATGATTTATTCATTTACATGTCATTATCTTTGTCGTGAATAAATTTTGTTAATTTTAGTTTTAAAATGAATATTTTTTTATTAAAAAATAAAACATTTGTTATAATACAGAAGCAAAAAATATATTAATTTTTTAAATAAAATTTATTATTACTTGTGATTTAAATTTAAACCTTAAAAATTAATGATATTACTGTATTAGATACTAATGAAAATTTTATTATCTATAATAATTTAATTTGACTCTGAACATAATTATCTTATGATTTAAAAATTATAATATTTACATGATATTTAAATAGTTTAATTTAGATTGAATAAATTTTTAAAATTAAAATAAACAAATAAATTCCATAAAAAATATTGAACTTTTTAATTTTAATTTTTGTGATTTATATTATATTATATATATATATATATATATATATATATATTTACAAACAATTTTATTATTTAAAAATGCATTAAACTTGTAGTTGACTAGCTCCGGCTGGAGTCTAGTAGTACCTTACGCATGGCCAAAGTGGAATTTAAATAACATTCCACACATTTATTAAAAATTGAACTATTTGGAAGCTTTATTATTACACATTAATACGTTCGTCTTTTCCCAACTAACCTCGCAACTTGATGGCCAATGTCTTAGTCATTATTAAAAGAAGCGAAAATGATGGAAAAGAACAATTTATCCATTTTAAATTTTCAAAAATATATTTTTACACCTTTTTACAGGTATGAACAAAAAAAAATTACAATAAGATATACACTAACCAGTGCCTTTATTTTTATTTTGTAAAAAAAAAGTGTTAAAAAGCATTTAAATTTAAATTGAAAGAAATGAAAATATTTTTCATTTTTGCTTTTAAAAGTCAACTTTCTTTCTTTTTAGTCAAATACAAATTTAGTATTTTTATTCAAATAAAACATTAAGACACTGATTAAAAAATTGAAAAATAATTTTTTTATAAAAAATATGATTAGTATATATATATATATATATTTATCATAATTTTTAATTAAAAATTTAATGTAATAAATATTAATATAAAGAAAGTGTAAAAAAAAATATTTGTAAAAATTTATACAAACTTATTCGCAAAAGATAGGTGGAGATGGTGGACATCCTCAATCTCTTGCGGCAAAAACGCACGTTAAGATACCCCCACCGTATCTTGGTCTTCTAGCGATGGGGTAAGGTTTAATTCTTTGAATAACTCAAAAATCAAAACAAACTAACATTTAAAATGCATTGTAATTAAAAAAAATGTTGATTTGGGTTAGGAATTAGAACCGTATAATGGTTGTCCACCCAATGTTCTTCTGATTATGAATAAAAATGCTTGATTGTGTCGTTCACCTAATCTAGAGAAAATTACGAAGCAATTATTACTAATTCATTTATAGACAAACATAGTGATTTTGTGGTCAAGTTTGGCGATGACTTTAAAAATTGAAACTGCATAGACCTAAGCAGGAAAATCTGCAGGCACACAATTACCATGGTAGAAGAGTCATTTATCAACCTTAGGTTGTTGAAAAAGGGGTTACCCAAATGTCTACTTAGAAACCTAGAAAATTGTGTCGGCCATGCGTTAATTGCGATATTGAATTGTTCCTAAACATTTTAAGTGAGAATAAGGCTTTGCCAGAACCCAAATACTGCTTCACATTTCACCCTTTCTTGTATTGTTTTCACATTGCTGTCTCTAACAATAAAAATAAAAATGTGTTGCAAAAAGAATAATATATTTTTTGACGTTTAGCTTCTTCTTTGAATGACCAAAAAGCCCTTCACTTTTTCTCCCGTCCCTTTGGAGTGTGATAAGAGTTATTTGAATTTGATAATTTTTTAATCCTAAAATACAGTATTATACTATTATTAACGTTGTTTATTAATTAAAGTTAAAATTTTATTTTAATTAAATAATTATATTTGATACTTTATAGATTATCGAGAAATATTTAATATACAAGGTTAACTATACTTTAAAATTACACTTAAATTTTACTCATCATTTATTTTTAATTTTTAGAAAAATATAAATCACGTGCTATTTAAAAATTTAATAAAATCACACAAACAAATTTTAATGTTAAATTCACGTTCTAATCTTATAGCCAACAATAGTAATTTTTAATTTTAATTTTGAGATATAGGGAATAAGATTTTCATTAAACTGGTGGACAAACATAACACGTGATACAATAAAGAGGAAAATTGGGCAAACCAAAAGGGCAGAATAGTGAGAACAAAAAGTCTTTGTTAAGATATTGGCTACTCTACTCCTCCTGGTTCCAACACGGCTTGGACCTGTTCTTTACATTCATGATTTCATTGTCTGCTCCACTTCCATCCAAATCAAAGTACATTTTTTATTTACTTTCTCCCAGGAAGATTTTCAGTGGTGACAGAGGCAAAGCCATAGCCACGTACAATATGAAGAACCCACGGTTCTTCTACCTTTCTCGTTTCACTCTCTTCTTCTTCTTCTTCTTCTTCTTATCTTTCTGCGCCCATCATTCCCTTGCAGCTCTCACCACAATCTCTACAAACCAATCTCTCACCGGAGACCAAACCCTCGTCTCTGAAGGTAACATCTTCGAACTGGGTTTCTTCAAGCCAGGTAACTCCTCTAACTACTACATAGGCATGTGGTACAAAAAAGTCACCGAAGTAACAATTGTTTGGGTGGCAAATAGAGACAACCCTGTCTCTGATAAGAACACTGCCACGTTAACAATATCTCGCGGTAACTTAGTTCTCTTAGACGAGTCTTCAAATCAAGTTTGGTCAACAAATATGAGTTCTCAAGGGTCAGATTCTGTTGTAGCTGTTCTCCTAGATTCTGGTAATCTCGTACTAAGAGACAGGCCTAATGCTTCAGATTCTCTGTGGCAGAGTTTTGATCACCCAACTAACACGTGGCTTCCGGGTGGCAAAATTAAACTTGATAACAAAACGAAGCAGCCTCAGTACCTCACTTCGTGGAAGAATATGGAAGATCCTGCAACGGGTCTCTTCTCTCTGGAACTTGACCCCAAAGGAAGCACTTCTTATTTGATTCTTTGGAACAAGTCTGAAAAATATTGGACTAGTGGAGCTTGGAATGGACACATTTTCAGTTTGGTTCCAGAGATGAGAGCGAATTATATATATAATTTCACTTTTGAGTCGAATGAGAACGAGAGTTACTTCACCTACTCCATGTATAATGCTTCTATTATATCTCGGTTTGTGATGGATGTTTCGGGCCAGATCAAGCAACTATCTTGGTTGGAGAGTACTCAGCAGTGGAACTTGTTTTGGTCACAGCCGAGACAACAGTGTGAGGTCTATGCTTTTTGCGGTGCGTTTGGGAGCTGCACGGAAAATTCTATGCCTTATTGTAGTTGTTTGACTGGTTTTGAGCCTAAATCAGTGTCTGATTGGAATTTGGGGGATCAATCAGGGGGGTGTCAGAGGAAAACAGAGTTGCAATGCAAGAGTTTGAGTCCCTCTAATGGGGATAAGGACAGGTTCCTTGCAATGCCCAACATGGAGTTACCTAATCATGCACAATCTTTGGGGTTAGGGGAAGTAGGGGAATGTGAATCAACTTGTTTGAAGAATTGTTCTTGCACAGGTTATGCATATGACAGTAATGGGTGTTCAATTTGGATTGGTGATCTGTTGAATTTGCAACAACTGTCTTCAGATGATAGTAGTGGCGAAACTTTGTATCTCAAGCTTGCAGCATCTGAGTTTCATGATGGTAAAAACAGTAACGGAACGATAATTGGTGTGGGTGTGGGTGTGGGTCTTGGCATTGGGTTGGTCTTGGCCCTTCTTGTGTTTTTCATGATTAGGCGAAGAAAAAGAATGGTTGGTGCAGGGAAGCCTGTGGAGGGTTCCTTGGTGGCATTTGGGTACAGAGATTTGCAAAATGCAACCAAGAATTTCTCTGAGAAATTGGGTGGAGGAGGGTTTGGTTCTGTTTTCAGAGGAACATTGGGTGATTCCAGTGTTGTAGCAGTGAAGAAGTTGGAAAGTATTAGCCAAGGAGAGAAGCAGTTCCGAACAGAAGTTAGCACAATAGGGACAATACAACATGTTAATCTTGTTAGGCTCCGTGGGTTCTGCTCTGAAGGTGCCCAAAGGCTTTTGGTTTATGATTACATGCCAAATAGCTCCTTGGATTTCCACTTGTTCCGGAACAAGAACTCTAAGGTTTTGGACTGGAAAATGAGGTACCAAATTGCTTTGGGAACAGCAAGGGGATTAAACTACCTCCATGAGAAGTGTAGAGACTGCATTATACACTGTGATGTGAAGCCAGAAAACATTCTCCTTGATGCTGAATTTTGTCCCAAGGTTGCAGACTTTGGCCTGGCCAAGCTGGTTGGAAGGGATTTCAGCAGGGTCCTCACAACCATGAGAGGAACAAGAGGGTATCTTGCTCCAGAGTGGATTTCTGGGGTGGCTATTACAGCCAAAGCTGATGTGTACAGCTACGGAATGATGCTTTTTGAGTTTGTGTCAGGTAGAAGGAACTCCGAGCCATCTGAAGATGGCAGAGTAACATTTTTTCCTACCTTGGCTGCGAACATAGTTGTCCAAGGTGGCAGTGTTCTTGGCCTTTTGGACCCTTGTTTGGAGGGAAATGCTGTCGTTGAGGAGGTGACGAGAGTAATAAAAGTTGCTTCATGGTGTGTCCAAGACAATGAAACTCACAGACCAACCATGGGTCAGGTAGTTCAAATTCTTGAGGGGATCTTGGAAGTGAATTTGCCTCCATTTCCAAAATCACTTCAAGTGTTTGTTGACAACCAGCAGGAGAACTTGGTTTTCTACACCGACTCAAACTCCACCCAAAGTTCACATGCAAAGAGCAACGTCTCAATCACCTCTTCTCAAGCCAAAAGTAACATCTCATCAAGTTCCAAGTCCTCAGGGGTAGAAAGTTAGGAGAACAAGCACCTGACTCTTTTGTTATAGTTGTTATAGAAAATATGGCATCTTTTGAGTTTTTAAACGAATTTAATTGTAATATATGGTTTGAACCGTGAGATTTTCTTTCCATGCTGATCCTATATTCAATAAAAATAATGTTACCTTATGTAGCTTTGACAGTACCAAGTAACTTGATACAGGGGGTGGTTTGTGCTACCTATTTGTTATTGCCTTCAAGCATTAGATTCCAATACTTTGATTTGCTTAACTATCAACAAAGTTTTCAAGATTCCATGCAATAGTTTGGATACTAACGAGAAATTAGCTAAGTGCAGTTGGCACATAATACTGCGAGCAACGTTACTATACTTTCAACAGGTTCATGTATGATATAAGCTTACACGGATATTTAGATCCGTTGATTCCTACGTTGTATAGGTCTCTCTAGAAAAACTCGTGTTTTATTTTGAAACAGTTGGAAAAGTGGTTGTGTGCTAGAATAGACAGTGGTTATGCAAAAGGAAAAGCCTGATTTCATTTGGTGGATCACCAATATGTATCCATCGCTTTTCGAGTCTTCCTTTAAATATGAGTGAGGACAGAACATATTAATCAATGCCAAGGAGCATAGTGTTCTCTTTTAGACATGAAAAATTGCCCCAAGTTTTTTATGCTAATTAATAGATTTTTTTTAAAAATTTTGTTTTAACATAGTTTTATCTTCTTGAAATGTGTCCTTGAAATATGATAATGGACAAAGTATAGTCAACCAATGTCAAGACAACGCAGCCGACCTAAGAAAAACCGCCTCTGTTTAAATGTTTGCCAAAGTTGCTGTGGTTATGTTTGGCAAAAATAATTGATATATTAGTTACAAATTTTAGCTAAAAGATATTCAACTATTTTATTTAATTAATAGTGTTTAAGAAAATTAACAATTGCACTAGATAATAAATATAAAAAATATTTACAGAACTTTTTATATATTTTTTCAAAAAAATATATTCTAGGTAATAATACTTTTTAGTTTTTAATTGATTTAAACTCTTTTATTGAAAATATATAAAAGTGTAAATAACATAATAATTGAATAAACAGATAGTATTAAAAGATGAATTTTACTAAAATAAAAAGTGTAATATTAAATAAAGCAAAAATCAAAGCGAATTTGGTGTCTTTCCATATATTCTTTTCCATACGGAGGAGTTACGTATGAACTATGCTAGGTTTGATAAAATAAAAATGTTTGTGAATTTTTTTTTATTTTGATTAAATAAGCTCATATAAACTAATGAAATAAGGTAACTGGATAAATTCATATGTTAGTTAAAATTACTACTCAAATCCACTCTAACATAAACGGCTGCAATGCTTATTTATGGAGTAGAAAACAGAGAATCGATGAACTTGTCATTCTGGAAACTGATGGCACTTAAATTGCGTCTCATGCCCGTAACGCTTCTGCCTGAAATGTCTTCATAATTTAAAACTGTGACCACTTATTTCAAATTTTTCGTCTGATTAATTGTCTTGCCGAAGTTAAGGGGAATTGAACCTTTCAAAACCATATCAAAAACTTACTGCAAAATTTTAGAATTCAAAACCTCATTTACTATCATTATAGTCTTTGAGATACATTTTCTACTTCCATTCCTCAGAAACAAAACCAAACAGAGGAAAACGCAGGGAAAGTAACAAGAACAGGGTGATTCAAGTTGCCTCAACTCTCAGCTACTTAGCAAATATGAAAAAATAATAGAAGCTTTTGTCTAAGAAAAATCTTTATTTACTTCAATGTTATTTCATTTTCCTTTTCTGGTCACATAATATTTTTATTAATTTTCTTTCTATTACTCTCTTTTCTCCACCTCATACATCTAAAAAATAAAGTGTATGAATATATAAATTATTTTTAACTTACCTTGATAAATTTTATTTTTAAATTTATAATATAAGTTATTATTTTTAAAAATTTATTAAATAAATACTTAAATAAACAATTATCGAAACACAAACACACACCTAAGCAAGAGACTCGAACACAAAAACTAGAATTCCCACTAAAAAGATTGCGGGCCCAGTAAAAGTTGCTTTAGGGTCCATTCATTACAGTGGTGGCCATTCTTGTAAGCTGTGAATTGGGTCTTCCGCAACTCGGCAACCTCTTTCGGGCGGCGACAGCTTGCATTCCGAAGAGAGACAAGGCACATCAATATTGACGTCAAAACAATAACGTTAAACTTGCCCCAAAGGACCGTAACTGCTAAGCTTATGACAAACAAATTTATCACTAGGCATTGGAACTTCTTTTGCTTCTCTAATTGGTCTCTAGTAGACTCATGCTTGGATAATTTCTTTGATTCAGATATGGTTGAGTTTGAAGATGAAATCATCAAAGACAATTCAGGGCCCTTGATTTCTTTAATTTTAGCGTCCAAAGAAGCACGTTTCTCACATTCTGTATATGCCGAATAACCACGTTTTGATCCAAAGCAAGTTTGGCCATAACTATTTTTTTGGCGAGCTCTTGTATTCTGTATGGCAAAGATATTCAATATTCAATATTCAATATGATAACTATTAATTACGTTATAAAATAAATATACGCTCAGTTGAAATAATAAATACTAACCAACATGATTTCAAACACCACAGCTTTAATCACCTTAGAAAGCGCTCGTTTCGGAGGATGAGGCACAGCCCAATTATGTGTCGATATGGGGCACTTTTGATCCGAAAACGTGGATTTGGTCGCTGAATTTTTGTGGCCGTGTCTGTCGATATCGACAACAGCTCCAGACTCGAGCGTGGCATCTACATCACCCACGGGACGGAAACATGTTAAGAACTTGTTCTTTGAAACGTTTTTCATAGAGTAACTCAGAAAGGAGATAATAATTATGACAATGGGTTTTGGAGAGTTACGAATAGAGGTGTATATGTATGTACATCTATGACTATATATGTCAAATGGAAGGAAAAGGACTAAAAGAGAGGAGCACTTTGCATTTGACGAGAGAATTTTGGACTCATGGGGTGATTAGAATTTACAAGGCCTGCAACAATGTGTCCGTTTCGATAACTGGACAGCCGAAATTTTGAAAGCACCCATATATATCTGGACAAACAAGAAAGCTTTTTTTAGAACTAGGAAAACAAATTGTACTTATTAAATGTTATCATAAGTAATTAAACTTAAAGTGCTTGACTTCTATAAATGATTTATGTGATCTTAATTCATATATAATTTTAATCACTTATATACAATTTAAATCTATCTTCATAGGATTTGCTGTGAGCCAGTGAGGCCTGAAAGTGGAGTGGGGGGCGAAGTGAAAAAGGCAGAACAATTTTGGGGTTACTCGGGAGGTACAGATATCCTTCATAGTTGAATATCTTTTAGCAAATAATTTATAAACTATTTTGAAGAAAAAAAAAACTGAATAGATACTATTTTTAAAAGTTGCAGCCTCTGGATTTATCATTGTGACTTGGTTTGGTGGAGTTGAGAATGTTTGACTCAAAATGCTCCTTTGTTTCTTTTGAAGTTTTTAATAAAAAAAATTAAGGGTGAGAAAGTTAACTGATCCTGTTCATATTGCACCAAGAATCAAAATAATGTCAACAAACAGAGAAATGCTATTAAAATTTTAACATTGTATGAGGGAGTATAGTATGTAGGAATAAATTTTAACACTTCTAATAATTTTTTCTTATACTAAATTATTAATCCAACTAAATTTTCAAAGATTCACTTATGGTACTAAGGCCATAAATGAAAATTATTTATTATTATTTTATTCCAACATGAAAGTAAGTGTTATGCGGACTACAAGTTTTGATTTAATTTAACAAGTTAAAAAAATGGTCTCATTCTATATATCAAGAGGACGGTTTTATCTTAAGAATCAAATACAAAAAAGAATTCAGAATGATAATACATAATCGTAAAATGTATTACCATGAATACTGCATCTGATATGGTGATCAAACGTGAAAAACTACATATCACTGCTACATTTATATTATTACGTGTATAAATTATAGTGACTCCGTATTAAAATGCATACAACTACCGTGCTGCTGAATTTAAGATCGATTTCGTTCGGTTTTAAATGATATGGTAACATCAATTATATTATTTTTCGATAAATGTTATGTCTTTAACTTGTTTCAGGTTTTATTAAAATAAAAATGGTGTATGTCTTCTAAAGAAAAATAATAAAAAATTAATTAGTATATTTTTAAAAAATTTGTACCAAATTTTATGAGTAGGAAAATTTATAAATTGAAATAGTAAGAAAGTGTAACATTTTTCATCGATCCATACGATAAAATTCAGCAAAATGAAAATGAAAATTAATGCTAATCAGTAAGACATTAATTAAAATAAAGTAAAACTATTAGATCTTGCTAATTAACATTTTGAGGATATTGAAAATTATTATTTATTAATTTTTAATTAATACCTTCAATAAGATTCAAATTAAAATGTATACAAACAGTTTAACATTTTATTTAAATGATTTTTAAAATGTACTAAAAAACATATAGTAAGAAGTTAATAAATTATATATTTTATTAAAAATTATAATTTTTAATAGTACATTGATGCGTTAAATTATGTATCTTTAATAAAAAAATTATTATATATAATTTTTTATTATATACCTTTGAATATAGACTAAAAAAATCATAATTTAATATATCATGCATTATTAATGCCTTTGAATATACGTTCATATTTCAACCTTTTTCTATGTGGTTCATCAACGAACCCAAAAACTTTCACGTAAATGCCAGCCACTTTACTGTAAAAGCTGCTTCTGTCATATGCTTGGAACTACATTTTTTGAGTTTTTTTTTTTTTGCTGGCTAACTAAAACTCTTGAGACGAATTTTGAATAATTAAAATTATATTTTTATTAAAAATATTTGTATATTAAAAATAAAATTCATATTATTTTATAAATAAAAATTATTTTAAAAATAATGCTAACAATTTGAATTAATAAAATGGTTAAGAAAATAATAAAAAATGTCCTTGCTAAGGATTTGTTCCACACAGCCAGAAATTTAATAGTTTGAGTAGTATAAATAAGCACCGTTGAGCGAAAGATGCTATAATTTGTTTCCTTCTGAGTTACCATTACCAATGTGTGTTATCACGTTTGAATTT